CATTAAGACTGGCTTTTATGAAGTTTCCTGAAGCCCATCTTTCTCTTTAAAATAAGTTCTCTGCTCTGGCCTCTCTCTCTCACACACACACAAACCGGCAATGACAGGAAGTTTTTTTTTTTTTTGCTAATGTAGGTTATGTGTGTTTCCCTTTATATGATAGCAGCTCTGCCCACTAAACAGTTTTGCAATATCGTATTCTGGTTATGTTTTGGAAGTAAATGCTATGGATGAATATGAATATGTACTTGAAGTATGGATGTTAAAGTAATAGGGCAGTAAGAAGAGATTGCCTTGTATTATTATTTATGTTATCCTCTTTTGAAGGGATCTGTTTGTATTTATATAGCAGGAGAATATGTGTGAACTATGACTGAACTTTTTAAAAGAAGCTATCTAAAATAATTAAAAACTTGTATGGGCCTGTTAAGGAAATACTGCATTATAATTAGTAGCTATGGGAGAACTTGTAAAAATGAAATACTGTACAAATAAAACATGGATTACAGCCTTGGGGTCAGTGTATTTTTATAATCTTGGATTATAAAAAAGAGTGCTTGACAGCAACTTCATTTGCATGTGTTAGGAATCAGAAATGAGCAACTCCATAACACCTTCTACCTATGTTCGCTCCCTTGGCTATGGAGTGATGAGACAACTGGCAGATTTCATTGATCCACAAGAAGGATGGAAGAAATTAGCTGTAGATATAACAGATCCATCTGGTGCAAAACGATACAACCAAATGCATATAAGGTAAGGTGTGGAAACCAAAGGGGAAGCATTGTTATAGAATTAGCTTGTAACTAGCTAAATGATTTGGTCCCTAATGTGTCAAGTTCAAAATTACCTAGTGGCCTATGTTGGTTAAATCTGACACCGTCTCCATTATTGTGTCTTTAACCTTGCATGTACCATATTTCTTTCCTAAAATGTTTTTTAAAAACCCCATACAACACTAAAGGAAGAGCATATACCTAGAATATCTCAGCTATTTGAATTCAAGTCACTGCTTCACCTGTGCATGGCTGTAGAATTGGGAGTAGTGTAGAATCTGCAATAGCAAATTTTTCATCTGCTCCTGCTTCCCATTTCATGTGTCCTGGTATGTATTTGATACAAAATTAGACTATGGTCTGTCTGCTCCAGCATTCTTTGTGTGGCATAACTGCCTCCTCCTAACTTAAATGTGAAGGGGAAGTTCTGTTATAGTCCTTGAAAGTGAAGGTGTAGGATTCATGGATGTTCAACCATGCTACTTCCACTGTGGGCGATTGGCAGTTGGAGTGGGGGACCAATAAAATTGTCAGAACAGCTGCTGTTGAGACATCAGTAAGGTAAGGGAGTAAAAGTCTACCTTTGAAATAGGCCCCTGTCTGAGTTTTCTCCTGCTGGTATATCTAGACTACAGATGTGATAAGAAGCTGTATTGGATCATGCTGATATTGCCTATAAGTCTTTCACTGAAAGATTGACTGTCAAAAGCAAGACTTAGGTGTCTGCAGACTTCAGTTTATAACAGCTGAGGTTGGAGTTGTCTAACGGGTGGCAGCTTTATTTTAAGAATGGCACCCTAATTCTGAACCTTGCTTGTAATATCTGATTTTGGCTACATTTGTTCATATATCACTCTGTTTGTGAAAGCAATCTTGGGAATTAAGTTCCTCTCCAATTCTGTACAGTTTCTTTTGTTCTATACCATTCATTCATTTCTGTACTAGGGGTGTTCCTGTTTTCTCACTGCTACTGGGTTAAACTGTTGTTATATAAATTACTACATGCAGTAGGTTCATGTATCCTAGTACTTTATAGCTAGAATATTGAGTCTTTAGCTGTTCAAGCTTGGAATAAAAATCCTACAGCAAATGTGCAGCTAAAATGGTTATATGTAATATCTATTATTTATCAAAAGAAGATAAAAAAGATATTTCTTTTGATAAATAATAGAGCTAATTCTTTTATTTAACTAACATATATCTATGTGTCTTAAAGGCGATTTGAAGCATTAAAGCAAGTAGGAAAAAGTCCTACCTGTGAATTACTTTATGACTGGGGGACCTTAAACTGTACAGTTAGTGATTTGGTGGACCTCCTCATCAGAAATCAGTTCTTGACACCAGCAAGTCTTTTGATTCCAGGTAATTTTGATTTGCACATTATCTTTGGCATGTATTTCAAAGAAAAGTTTTTAAAAATGATTTTGTTTTAAACTCTAATCTTTATTGAGCCTCTTACATGAGGATATATAGTCTTCTTGCACTTGGTAGCAATCTGTGAAAAATGAAAATCGTAATGTTAATAATTAAGAAATGCATACAAATATTTTGCTTCATTGAAAAGGTTGATTTCATACAGTTAAGCTATAATGGGGCATGTTTGGTTTTGGCTTACTGCTAATGTGAAACCTAGCCATTGTTTGTAAACCATGGTTAAACAGTAGTGAACCAAACATTGTTAGCTATCTTTGTTTGAAATTTATGTAAAAAGTAGATCTAAAACACTATCCACTTACAAGACTACCTAGAACATGATTTTACAATGCAAGTTATAACTACAGTACAGAGAAAACAAACCCTGATTAGCTTTCTTTTGTCTGAAGCACAAGGTTCTCAAAGAATTTATCAATTACGCACATCTATAGTCAAAGCAATTCTTGGCTAGTGTAACTGAACTAGTGTAAAGAGTTAAACTTTATATTAAAATGCAGGATTTTTATTGCAGATGAAATCTGCACATTATATAGTGGCCTCTTCATTGATTATTTTTGTTTGAAAGAGTTTTAGAGGATACCGTTTAAGATTTACATTTTTTTAAAAAATCTTTGGTTTATTAAGATTAATGGTAGAAGTTATGCTACTGAATTAACAGTTGATTTGTAAACGTAGTGGATAGTATTTTCAGGATTTTAATTTTTTTATCTGGATTTGAAGGAATTCACATAGTTAGACTAGATAGCACCGGCTAGAAGAAAATAGGTTTTTATGCATGTGAAAGGGCTGGTATTTTTCTGCTTTATATATAAAAAAACCCTTTTGTTCAGTGGGATAGAAATGATGGCAAAATGTTCAAGTTAACAATTGAGGAACCTCCCTTTTAGGTTATATAACACACCTGATATGTTACAAAAACTTGTGGTTGTAAACTGTGGCGAAGGCCATCGTACTTCAAAATTTAATCTTCAACTTGAATTTTCATACCATGTTGGTCAAATCATGTTGTGATTATCATATTGCTTTGTGTTATCCTCATAGTATGGTTAAGAAGCCAAGTGATTACTCAAGCATAATTCATTCCTTACAACTTTTTTTAGTAATCTAGAAGTGCATTTCCTACCTGAAGTCTATATGATTATTTTATTTAATGGCAGATTCCATAAGCATGACAAAAGACGTGACATTGTCTCTATCCTTACGGGAAACTGTACTCCTAAATGATAAAGGACCTCTTGTAGAAGACAAGAAAATGCCATCTGAATTGCCACTCTTGGGTACAAATAATGGCCACCTAAGGTCAAGTTGTTGTGATCTAAGTTCAGAGAAGAACAGCAATCATCTTAATGATACAGGTAGACCGTTATCCTTTCCAAAAATTATCTCATATTTTACTCCACCCTTGTTAGCCAATTCCAGTGACATAGTGTGGAGGGTTGGGTTCAGATAATGACAGTCTAGTAGATATATACAAACCTGTAGCTGCTGACAAACCAAAATAAGGCTCTTTCCTTCTAGGAAGATTCTGGGTATTATGCCTTGCCACCGTAATACTGCCAATCAGCAGTCAGGACACCTGGCTATAAAGACAGGAGCCCAGCCAGTCCCTGCTCAGTTGCCTATGATCTGTGTAGCAGACCATCTTGCCCCTGAAGATGCCAACCACATTTGCTGGCGAAATGTCAGGAAATATGTTGTCTAGACCACAGTAACTAAACCCTGAAGCCCAACACTGCGCAACAGATACCGGCCATGAACGCCTACACTAGTATATTAAACTAATTGTGTTTGCCCAATCTTGTTCAGGTATTTGAATGATTCCAACCACCCTCTAGTAATATTAATTTGATCCACATTGTTACATATTGATCGCTGCTTGATTGGACTATTGTAACACACTATATGTGGGGCTTCCTTTGGAGATGAGGTCACTATATTAGTTATCGGAAGGCCTCTGGGTCCTATTCAAAATGCTACTTGTTACCTTTAGAGCAGCACTGGGACAACATGAAGTGATTCATAATACATAAATAAATTAATGTTGGTTTTAGATTCTAAAGATTTCCATGGTTAAAATGCTTTTGTGATTTCCACTCAGACTTGTTCTCCCTACCCACTTCTGCCCAGGATTGAAAAGCTTCACGTTTCATGCGCTGAAAAGTATTACAAATAACTTTGATGACCGAACTGTGTCAGATGGTGGCAATAAGATTGGTGAAGGAGGCTTTGGAGTTGTTTACAAAGGATGCATCAATGGCCAAATAGTGGCAGTGAAAAAACTTACAGCTGTAGGTGGTCAATTATTTTGCTAACATTATTGTTTGATTTATACTATGCTACCTATTTAAATTAAAGGATAATATAATAAAAGGAGACCAGAAAATCATGCAATGATAACAGTTCTATGCAACCTTTCACACCAAGTTCATAATGTCTAATAGAAGAATCATAGCAAGAGTGGTCATCATGAATAAACTCTTTAAGAAACTGAGCAGGGAAATTATTTCAAATAAGTTCCAGAAACATTTGAGTCAGTAAAATAATTTAATAATTCCACATGGAAGACATTACTTAGGGCAAATCCTCAATTTACTGTTCTACAAACATTTTGGGCTTAACAAAATAAGGCCAGCCCAGGTAGAAATTCAAGTGTTGTACTGTTCCTGAGAGCGTGATTGATTTGCTTGGTTCACATCATGCTGAGATATAACTATGAATGTTTAGATCAACCACAATGAACAGAACTCATAACATGCTGAATCATAAACCATTGTTAGAAGTCACTCATTACATAGAGTTCTTCTGATTTAGTTGCTTTGATTTAGTCATTTTGTGTGAGATGGGTGGCTATATAAATGTGATATATAAATAAATAAATTTTATTTTCTTGTTTAAACCAGCTATTATGGTTAAACCATTGTTTATGGCTTAGTACATAATGGCTAATTGCAGTTTATTCAGTACATCATAAGTAATGAAACCAAGGCGTAGCTTGTGGAAACCAACCAGGATTGGGCTCTGCAAAAATAAGTACATTTTTTTCTATCAGCCACATGTACATTTATTTTATTATAATTTTATTGTAGTTGGCTGATATAAGTATCGAAGACCTGAAAAAGCAGTTTGAGCAAGAAATAAAGATTATGGCAAAGTAAGTAGGTTGTTTGTTTGTTTGTCTGCTTGTTTATTTATTTATTTATGGTCTTAGAACTAAAGTAGAAATCTTAGTACAAAATATGTGGAAACATATTAGATATTTTTTGTAGTTGCATTCTGTGAAATTTAAGATGGTACACTAGAAACTATGGAAATGCTGATCATTTGTAATACTAGTGTACATATAAGTAGCTTAGGAAAAATGTGGATGTAGCAATTAAAATAGTTCTAACTTTAATAATCCTTTCTAGTTTCCATGTACTGTAATATCACTAGAACAATCATACACATAGAATGGCCATCTCTTTTGGGGAAGGGGAATAGCATTGTTTAGGGCTGTAGCTTCTAGAAGTTGTTTTTTTTATTAAAAATAAAGTAACTGAAAGGAGCTTCAGTTTCAATTCTAATGTGAGAGGAAATTTCTGTAGAAATGAACATGACTGTGTTCCTCTCTGCTTCAGAAGTCAGCTGTTTTGCTGGCTTGAACTATTTGCAAAAACATAATTCCCATTTTTTTTAGATTGTACATGTTCTTGATGTTTAAGTAGCTTTCTCTGAATAATTACTGTGGCCTATTTCTAAATGTACCAGCTAGAAGGTAGGTTCCACTGATTGCAATGGAATTTACAGTTCTTCAGCCTTTGAAGTTTCTTGACATTTTTAGGTCATTGTGTTGAAAGAAACTTTTATCTTTGATTTTATATAGACAAATATCATCCCTGAATTCCAGTTTTTAGTTTTAAAAAGATAAAAATATTGTATGCCATTTTTCTTTTAGGATACTGTATTAATAGAGGTTACTTTGTTTCTAGTCAGACCATTGGTTGCCCTAGCTGAGGCCAGATGGGACAGGTGGACTTCATATCTTCAGATATGAATGATTTTAAAATAAGTTGCTTTCAGGAGTGGGAGGTCCAAAGTAGAATCAAGATTATTCAGCTCTTATTTCCCCCCTACCAATCTCACCACCTAACACTGGTAGGTACTGGTAGAGTTGAAAACATGAGTCCCATGTCTAGTTTGATATTCAGTAGTCAAAACATTGACTATCATGGTTTTGGAAAGGAATCTTTCCAGGGCTATCCATAGAAATTAACACAGAACATTTTGTGTACAAAACATGAGCTCAATCACTGAACTACTCATTGAATCAGCTTGTATATAGGCAATACAAACAATTTCTAGTCAAAGCTAGAAGTAGCTTAGATCCATTCCAATTTTCATAATGGTAAATATTGAAAAATACAAAAGCCCCAACAAATAAAACTATCTACTTTTGTCTACAGGTGTCAACATGAGAACTTAGTAGAATTACTTGGTTTCTCAAATGATTTTGATCAGCCTTGCTTAGTGTATGATTATATGCCCAAAGGCTCCTTACTTGATAGATTAGCTTGTCTGGTAAGTGCTTTCTTTAGTATTAAGACCTAAAGGTAATATCTTTGAAAGTGAAAAGGGGGAAAAAACTTGATCCATTCATGCAGGATCATGCTTTTTAAACTTTTAACTTCTTAAAACTAACAACGGGAACCAGAAATCATATGGCTCATTAAGATTGATTTTCTAGTATATTGTGAACTATTTTTCCATTATTTATTTTGGAGAAGTAGTTGTTTCAAATTGAGTAAAATGTAACTTTTCTCTAGATAAGATTGGTTCCTATTTGAATTCCTAATAAATGTATTTTTATGGACCAATTCAGGGTTTCAGAAAAATCTGTAATCTTTTGCAGACATAACATTGATGCGTTACTCTTCATTTAGTACTAGGAGTGTGTCAGATGTTTTACTATCTTTAAAAAATAGAGATTGTTATCCCTGAATAGGAGACAAATCTTATTAGCGTGAACTACAGTTTCTGTTGGGAGAAAATGGTTCATAAACCACAGTGAATCTAGATTTTTTTTCAAAAATGGTACTTTAAAGTAACCAGCTAAGACATAAAAAACTCTGACTTCTGATCTTTATTCAGCGTTACTAGAATTAATGGGAAAGGTACAGATCTTAGCCAGATTATTCATGCAATGCTAAGGTTTGTTTTAATGCTTTTCCTAAAATAGACTTTTTAGTGTATTTCCAAATTTTCTTTTGCTGGTAATAAAATACTTGATTCCTAAATTCTGCGGTCAAAACTCATTATAATATGACCAGTTTTTCTTTGACCAGAAAGCAACATGACCAATTTTTCTTTGACTAGTGACTACTAATCCTGCTAATACTAATTGAACAAATTAACCTACAGATAAACTTTAAAGATGTTTGGAGTTAATAAATACAATAATACTGAGCCATGTTCCAAATCCCACGAGGGCTTTTTGGTGTATCAGTTAATATTGGAGGCTTTTCAATGCCAAAAAGCTTTGCTTTGTTAAAGTATATTAAGAAATTAATATCTGTATATTCTGTTCCTAAAAAGCACACAGAATTGACTGATAATCAGCCTCAGATAGTGGTATGAAATGAGTGATTAACAACATAAATTTAAAAAGTGACTGCACTTTTTATGAAACAACGGAAATCTGTATATTGGGATAACATTCATGACAGCTGATAATTATTATCTTATACATGAAATATGGGTAAGAGATCTACTCCTTGCTTTCCAAATCACCAAATACGACCTTTGATTTCATGGAATCAGTGACATGGAAAAATAAGATCCAAACTTGTTATAAGCAGCAGCTTATCTTGAAAAAGACTTCTCAGGGGTTACTGTAGTCTTAATTGATCAGTGCTGCTTGTTCTTGGGAATGCAATGCTCACAACTGTACTATTCTGCTTGTTTTGTTAGTTTATCTAATTTTATTGGATAAAATAAGTGAGCCCAATAAAATACTGAAACATTTCTACTCTCTCTTCCGGTTTTTAAAGGAAAACACTTCACCAATACCTTGGGAAACGAGATGCAACATTGCTTATGGTACATCAAATGGACTCTCTTTCCTGCATGAAAATAACCATATTCACCGAGATGTTAAAAGGTAAAATCTGTAATACTAACTCCTGTGTTAACAGATATTTCAGCTACTGTTTCATTTAAATGTCCCAAGCATTTTTAAGTCTTTCTAAATACAGGTAATCCTTGTTTAGTGACTGTCTTGGGCAGCAACTGTTTGCTGTTATGATGGTGATTAAAATTTGCGACGATGCCTCTATTTATGACTTTTGCAGTGTCTCTCAGTCACATGTTTGCCATTACAACAGCATGTGTTGTCCTGTGCCTGGCCCATATTTTTTTTTCTTTTCGCCCCCTCACAGAATGGAGAGATTGTCTAAATAAGTCATCTCTTCCTAAGCTGTTTTTCTCCACAGTGCAGTGTCTAAAAAGTGCTAACTGCAAGTTAACATGCTCAGCTCTGTGACCTTAATTAGTTGATTAGAACGCTCCAGCCAGCTAGTGCTGCTGCCTGTCACTGACAAGACCCTAATCAGTTTCACATTAAAGGCTTTTGTTTGCCCCCAAGTGGCTTGCAGCTGACAGCTACCAGCATGCTAGGCAAACAGCCAGTGCTCATGCATTCCTTTTGAGGTGTATTCCCCATTGTGTGCCTGCTTACTCTCTTGTAATCCCTTCCTCTCCAATGAATGTAAATACAAACATTAATTCTCTTCTTGCTAATTATCCCAGTGCTGGGGTGAACATTCCAAAGGATGGGGGAATGGGTAAATGGTTTACAAGATTTACCCTTTTACCTGGCTTCCTTGTGAGTCAAGTTCTGGAAACGTTCCCTGCTGTTTGGGCTCAACCGGCTGTTGGGGGTCATATCCTTCTGATACTGTAAAACAAAAGAAAGCTGAAATAAAATCATAAGCACAGTCACGGTCATATGGTTTTCACTTATTGACCACTTCGCTTAATGACCAAATCACCAGAACCAATTGTGGTCACTAAACAAGGACTATCTGTATTTGAGGTGAATAGTGAAATGTTCAGTATTTTATGAAAGTAGTTGCACAACTATGTATATAGTATATTTGTGTTTATAGCATATTTACATAGAAAAAATGGGAAATGGAAGCTTTTCTTTGCTTGATAAATGTGATTGATTGATTGAGTGATGTGTCATCAAGCTGGTGTCAGCTTATGACTACATAGATAGAATTTCTCTGGAGAATCTGTTCCTAACCTGGTATTTCAGGTCTTCCAACAGTGCACCCATCACCTCTTTAATTGAATCCATCCACCTTGCTGCTGGTTGTCCTCTTCATCTCTTTCCTTGCACCTTTCCCAGTGTTACAGACTTCTTCAAAGAGCTAGTCTTTACATAATATGTCTAAAGTATGATAATTTGAGCCTGGTCATTTATGCCTCTAGTGGTAACTCTGGGTTGATTTGTTTGATGACTCTTTTGTTTGTATTCTTGGCTATCCATGGTATTCTCAGGAGTCTTTTCCAAAGCCAAAGTTCAAATGTGTCACTACTCTTTCCATCCTGTTTCTTCACAGTCCAGATAAACCACATACTAGTCAAAAATAACTGGTATTACTGATAAGAAAAAAATCTGTTCTTTTTGTTTTGTTTGCCTCTCTTCCAGGGGGAGAAGGCAAAAATAACCTTTAGCTTACTATTCTTTTTTTTTCTTTTCAGTGCAAATATCTTACTAACTGAAACATTTGTGCCAAAACTTTCTGACTTTGGGCTTGCAAGAGCATCAGTGAGATTCACACATACTATTCTAACAGATAGAATAGTTGGAACAGCTGCCTATATGGCTCCAGAGGCTTTGAGAGGGGAGATAACTCCTAAATCGGATATCTTCAGTTTTGGTGTGGTAGGTTGCTGTTTTTTAAAATATGTCAGTAAGTGAGGATTATTTTCCCTTTTTGCTCCCTTTTTCTTTAAACATCTTGCCTAATTAAAAATTATTGGTAACTCACAACTGTGCCTTGTTTTCCAACTTTGGAATGGCCCAAAGTGTTCATTATGGCTAATATGGCTAGCCTTGCTTATTGTTCTTTTTTAAACACACACATACACACACACACACTCTGTGTGTGTGTGTGTGTGTGTGTATATAAAATCATACTTTTCAAAAGTATGTCATCTTGAGATCTAAAGTGAAGATATGTAATCTCTCAAAGTGTCAGACAGATGCTGTGGAAGAGGGATCAATTTGGACCAGAAAAATGTTGGAAAGGAAAATCCTTTCCTAGGTCATAGTCCTGATCTATATAGTAGTCTCTTTTGTCTAACGCAATTGCTATTATTCAAAACAAAACTATAGAATCTGATTATGAATCGTCTGGGTCCATATACTTACAGTACATAAGCTGTCAATATGTTGCTTAAACAGTGTTGATTTGGATCTTTTAATGAAAAACAGTGCAATTTGGGATATTATTAATTACATTTAATTAAATTACATTTGATCAAAGTTAGCTTTGAATAAAAATTTGGCTGCTGCCATTTTAAAAAACTGGCATCCCATGCAAAGGGCACATGTGGATGTTAGTGTCCAAAGTTACCACTCTACCTCCAAACCTGATTATCATTTATTCCTTCTCTTGTCTAGTAGTTGGTTGTCTTAAAGTAAGTAGGACCAGGTTCTGTGCAGCAAGGAACATGCTACTTCTTTGAAGTTGTTAGTTGGTGAAGAACTCCTGAATCAAAAGCAAATCTATCTTACTTGTAACACCTTCAATAATCCTGTTGGTTTAGATTTTAGTTCTGAGCATGACACTAGATACTGGACTATAAAGTAAAAGTAGAACAGTCAGGCTTCCACAGCAGTTAAGTAAAAACTAGGGCAAAAGAGGCAGTGGAAAATGCAGTTATCAGAGCGCATTATTGGTCGGGGAAAACTGTAGCTCCTTTAAATGTGCACTGAGTAGAAAGGCAGGATATAACATGAATGGTTACATTGTATATTACATTTTATGTAGGTAGGCCATTTTGGAAAACAAAATAGGCAACATAGTTTTTTTTTAATTACAGCTTTATCAACTACAGCTTGATCAAATAATCAGTTATTATCAATTACCTCAAATAGTTATAATGAAGAAAAGATATCTTCCCCGGTCCCCCAATTCAAAATTTCTTATGGATCCTTATATGTTTTGGGTCAGTTGATGTATTTGGAACATGGTAGGCATTCTCATAAAATGGATGCCATAGTAAGTATAGTCAGTTATATCAGATGCCCATTTTTCAGAATACAAATAGATGAAGCTAAGTAAATCTTAAAACAGAAGAATGGTCCATGGTCCAAAGGCAAGATTTTATATATAAGCTCACAAAGTACAATAAAATATCTATTTCATTGAAATCATGCTGTTGAAGCTTTTTAACACCCTCTGCTCCCTCCCCAATAAACATTAAAAAAAATGTACAAAATGTATAAATAGAGTCAGCATTGAAGTCATTTGGGGTAAGAAGCTTAGTAACTCCCAAGAAAGATGTCCAAGGGCCCAATTGATGCTCTTGGATGTTCTGTATGGCACTTCCTTTGAAGAAGAGCTAGTTTCTGTATTTGATTGCAGTCAAGGAAAAAGAAGGGTCAGTACACAATTTAATTTAGCTCCAGGTTTCCTGTAATACCAGTCTCAATTGTTGTTGAATTGCTCTGCTTTTAAGGACAGACTTCATTTTTCTTCACTAAAAAAGTAATTAATGGGATTTAATGGGAGATGCCTACTGTATTATTTTACATCACGCCAGACCTTTTCTTCTTAAGAGCCTGCCTTCTAGTGGTCAGAGGGGATAATCAAAATAAAAACATACCCGAATGATTTGGACCACTGTCTTCCTTTTTCAGTCAGGTATTACATGTTTACTTATTTATTTAAATATTTGCTTATCCTGAAAAAGCTTCAAATCTCCCTCTATGAAATGTAGAATTTGAAAAACTGTTCCATAATCCTAGGTCTGGTGATAGCTGTACAGAGATTTTAGAAATAAAGTTTGATCATATATTCAGTTGCACATTTTTGATCACTGGTTAAAAGCTAAGCCTTTATGGAATTATGCCAAAGCTTGCTCACTTTGTTGCTTAAGGTACTTTGGGTGTTCCTCTGTGAAACAAAATAGTAACTTTAATTTAAAAATGCTTTTTCTTAAATAGTGCGGAAATAGATTGGAAAGTAATAAATTATTGACCAGACAATATAAAAATATTGGTTGTTGTGCAGTGATATTTAATGAAAACTCACAACATGTATTTCACTTCTTAATTTTAATCTGTTTTTAGGTATTACTCGAAATAATAACTGGGCTTACTCCTGTGGATGAAAATCGGGATCCCCAGTTACTGGTAATTTTCTTCCTCTTGGTTTGTGTATGATATACACAATATATCAGCTTCTGTACCATGCCAGCTGACGTTCAGCAGCTTTGGAGGACACAAGGCTAGGAAAGGCTTGTCTACTGTTTCAGTGGATTCAGCAGATTCCAGCAGAAGCTGACACTAGCCAAATTCACATATTGCACTAAGTTGTAATATGATTTGCTTGTGGTTTATTTAATAAATTGTAGTTAAAATTGGGATTTAGAGTGATTTGTGAACTGAGCATTAATGATTTGTAATGTCAAGATTGGGGAATGTGTTACTTCAAAATTCTTTTGCCCTTATGCAGGTCTGTTTTAAAGTTAGGCCAATGTAAGGATAGGAACCGTTGTGGCAGTGTGTTTCTGTTCAATCCTTTGGTAATACCAGAAGTCTAGATTCATACAGAAAGGTAGAATAAAGCAGTTCCTTGGTCCCTTTTGGAAACTGAGGGGAGAAGCCTCTTGGTCCCTTTTGAAGGGAGAAGCCTCTTGGTCTCTTTTGGAAACTAAGGGGAAAAGGACACATGACATGTGAATCAAGGAAACCTCAGGCATATCTTAATTGGAGATAGTGATTTCTTATCAATAAAAAAAGTTATGAAGATGTTAAATAACATAAACATATTAGGTAAGTTAAATTCAGATAACCAAATGTTTAATGTGATTGAAATTCAGCTTTCCATTTAACTTCAAAATATTCCTCCAGATGATGTGGGAATCTGCAACATTGTGAAAAATAGGATAGAAAAAGTTGTAACAGGATCTAAGCAGAATATGACATATGGAAATCTGCTGAGTTTGTTATTTATTTATTATAATATTAATGTAGTTATTTGCATTCTACAGTATAGGGGCTCCCACTCCTTTAACTTCATAGGGTAGGGGCCCTCAGCAGCCTCTCTTGGAATGAAGGTACAAGATGATCTGTCGCTACCATGGTGCAGACATATGACCTCTCCCATACCTCCATCACACCATACAATCCCAGCTTGTTTTATTTCTTTTAATCAATTCATGTCAGGTTTAGCCCAAAGAACTCCAAGAGACAATGCAAAATCAGTTCAGCTATCTTTATTAGCTACAACCTCCAGCAAGAATCTCCCCAGACTGAACTCCAGTTCCCAAGCCAGCCAGCCACAACACTGTGAATTCCTCAGGGAGGTGCCAGCCTCATCCCCTTGAAGTTCCCAAGCTCTTGTGGTGAACT